TCGTAAATATCAAAATTTATTATTTTATTTTTTAAAAAAACATTTATTACTTTTTTCCAGTGATTATGAATAATTTTTCGTTTCATTCGTGCTTACTATTACTTTATAACTCCGTTTCTTTGTAATTTGAATATTTTAAGTTTGTATTCATATTTGTTTCCTTTACACTTATTATATGCTTTATATTACTTTCATTTGTATTTTGATTTATTTGTTGTATTTGTATCCGTATTTCGATCATAATTAATTTCTGACCAAAAAAGTCAATATTTAATTATTCAAATTAAATATTAATTAGAAATTAAATTCATTCACTTATAACGAGTTTGTGGGTTTTGCGTCATTTAGAAGACGATGTTATCAATTATATTTGGTGGATGAATCGTTATCAGAATTAAAGAAAATTTCCAGCCTTCGTATATTACTTTTAGGACGGCTTTTCTGCTCTATTTTTTAAAATTATTTAAAATCGCGTTCTGTTGCCTTTTGACAAAATACTTAAATTGCAACTTCTGAACACTGAATATTTCTCTAAAATTCATAAGCTTCCACGTGCAAGCCGTTATGGATTTCAGATAAATATGCATAATCTCACTGACGATCCGTATGTTTCACTGGACACGTTTTAAAAAACTGACATCGCGCGCCATGTTTTATCCTGTATTTTGGAACCCCGTAAGAGACCGGGAAAACTACTGAATATTGGTAATTCGACCTAGTTTGGGTTAGCCTAGGCGAACGAGCTGGCTGCATGGTTGGTTTCGTGGTTTCCGCCATGTGTCATGTAAACACGAGTCAGCTTTCCTCAGAAAGTCCTCCACGATGGCATCCTTCCTCTTAGGCAGATAATCCTCGTGACATTTTTATGTTAAAATAATCTAACCTCAGCGTCTATTTGAAATGTAGTGAGAATGCTGTTTACTTCTGAGTAAACATTTATAGTTTAAAATACCGTATTTTCATCTCCCCCTTTTTTTAATAATTTTACATCTTGACAATCAAAACTGAAATATTATGTAAAAGCACCACTTTGACCAAATGTACTAATATTGCTGCACTTTTTTGTTTCAAAAAGATAGTTTGCTATTATCAGTTTTGGTGCTATTATTTTTACTTCAAAGTACTTTACTACGTTTCCATGACTTTTACGCAGCTACCGTAAATCAAAAGTTTCTGAATTATATGTTGAAAATTCCAGGCGGGAACACTCCAGGGAGAGAAATATGAGAGTAAATAAGCGAAAATATGTGAGTAGGAAAATTTAGAAATTAACATTTATAAGCAATTTTGTAAGCCTTTTTTTTATTTTCTGTTTAAAACAGCAAACTGATCTTATACTACCACAGATACATTACTCACTCATGAATCATTTTTACATTATTACATTGAAACTAACGCTGTTAGTTTAGTTTGTTTTAATTTTCAATGAAATTCATTAATGATTTTCTGATGTAACAGATTATTTTCATATCACAAATTATATGCATTTCTGAGTAGCATCTTTACTCAAGATATTTTTAGATTTCCCTACGCAATTTGTTTTTAATTAAATTCTTTGTTGACATTATTATCTAATATTTGCATTCATAAAACATATTTCATATATATTTCAGTTTATTTAATTAAATATGGGAAGCAAAGTACTAGATTTTAATTCACAACTTTAGCTTTTAATAAAAAAATCATATACTACATAATTAACAAAAAATTAATTCGAAAGCTTTTCTGTTATACACTCGTGTCTACAAAAGTCTTTATCCGGTCTTCATTTTCGCAATCGTTGGTCGTGCACATGAACTTGCAGTTACAGAAATATTTTAAATAATGCAAATATTAACGTTTTGTTATTTCTTAATTTAAATGAATGAATTTTGTAGTTATTACGAAATCTTACATTTTATACATTTTTAGGTCACTCTGAATGAATGTTAAAGAAAATGTTATACTTCTTATAAAAATGAATAGAAAAGAAAAAGTGTTTGACTCTTGTACGACGGAAATTGACCTTGCGATTTTTGACGTCACTTTCAGTTTATATTGAAAGGTCCATAATGAATAAATTAGAATAATTCGAGGTTGATTTTTCTTTCACTTAAATGCAACCCAATGATATTCTTTTGCGATTTACCTAGTGTCTTTCATCTATAACTGTTGTTATATGGTTACCTTATTTAAAAGGTATTGTATTTTTATTTACTACAAATGCAAGCATTTCGCTCTTCAATTTTTGTACGGCCCCTGAATATGATTTTTGATTCCTATATCAAATATTTCTGTCAGTTTCTGTCGTACGGCTGTCATACATTTTCTGTTTTATTTTACAAAATATTTACAAAATTTTCTAAGCATAAATACAAGGAACAGAGGAACGGATAAAATGTAAGTTTTGCGAAATTGGCTTTTTTGTGTTAAAAAATACCACAACATGCGCATTTGCATCAATTAAAACATTTTAGTACGGGAAGTACATGTCTACGACCAAACGTTTCGAAAATAAAAGCTCGTAAGGAGTTTTGTTTTATCACACTTCTTTATCAAAGCATATTGAAGATAGGGATGGTTAAGAGATATCCGACTAAAAAAATAAGCAGGTTTTTTATATAGGATAAAAAAAATTCTTTACCAATCCAAATCACTTTTGTTCGGTTACTTCAATAAGATACAGCAAGCAAAAATTATTTGCCTAAGCAGAAGGATGCCTTCGCAGACGCCTAAGCGAAACTGGCACCCATTCTCGATACACTTGAGGAAAACTGCAAAAAGCCAGATCGTTTGCCTGTGCTCGAGCCCAGGACGAACTACTTGTACTCCGCGATCTTTAACTACTGGGCCACTACGGAGGTAATTATTTTTGCTGTGTCATAGAATATTTTAAGCTTGATGCTTTCTGAATGCATTGATTACCAAAAAAAATAATAATCACTAATAATCAAACAGTTATCTTTGTATGATCTCCCTTTCCATTATAATACACTATAGTTAGAAATAAGGCTCTTTTTAATGCCAAGTTCTCATTAAAAATGTTCAACTTTTCATGACTGTAGGTGCAATATCCTCCAGCAAACCAATGTAGCTTTCTCATCATGTACTTATGCTAAGTTGTATTATAAGTTTGGATATTAATGAGAAGAATGACTGTTTTATTGAATAGTTATTTGAATCATCTCTCTCATTCGGTTCATCATGTTTCATATTGTAATTATTACAAAATGCCCATACATAGGTTGCTATAAAATGCTCTCTTGCAAGTAAATTTAACAATATATAAACTAAATATAATTATCTAAATCTCATAATTTTCTTATTGTCAAGTTAATTACACTGTGAAAACTTGATTAGTGAGCGCACGCATAGAATCAACATTTACCATACGTTATCAGTACAATCACAGCAAGAAGGTAAAACTTCTTAATACAGTCACGTAAATCATGAATTATTAGAGAATTTCTTTTAATATTTGAAATGGCTTTAATATTTGGAAATGCCTTATTACTTAAGATACATTTGTTACCGGTTTCTCCAAGTTTTAAAAAGTTCTATAGATGGGGTTTGTTTTACAGGTAAAGAATTTTAAGTTCGTGACTGTTGAAAGGCGAAAAAAAAAAAAAAGGAAAATCGTAATATTCTTAAGTTTGCAATATTATTATCAAGTTTGCAAATATTTATTACACAGTATGTTAAAAATTGATTATTAAGTTGCTTTACGTGACGAACGAGGCCACCGCGGTGGCAGAGGGATAAATATTGGCAGTTCGAATTCAGGCGAACAAGATAGCTCAATAACTGCTTTTCGTGGTTTTCTCCATGTAAGCCCGTTTCCCTTAGAAAGTCCTCCACGAAGGTATAACACTTCGTAGGCAGACAGTCTTCCTAGGCTTTTCCTTATTCAAATAAGAAACTTTAATCAAACACGAAGAAAGACTACTTCGTAGGTTCTGTGTTGATTAATTAAAGAAATTAGGAAACTTACGTTGAAAAATATGTTATTTTGAATAATGTAATCACTTCATAGAGATCACTGTGATACAAGATAAATCTGTCCTTTATAGTTTTCTTTGAATTTATCTGGTGCTTTTTTTTTTTTTTTTTTTTTTTTTTTTTTTTTGAGTTAGTCAAATCTTGTCAAATGTAGCCCTTTATGGACGAAAGAGAAAGAAATAACACATAGTGACATGCAATATGAACACGAAAATGTATCAAAGTGCCATCTTTGCAACTGACATGAAATAACAAGTAACTTAAAAACTGAAATCTTAATATGCTTAAAGAAACAGACAGAACTCGGGCATAAAATGATTGGAAAACACAAAAAAAAAAAAAAAAAAAAAAAAAAAAATCCTCATTCGAAATTTAAACGGCGTGAAAATTTCAGGCAATGAGATTTTTTCCTTTCCATTCGTAAAAAAAACTAAATAACTATAATAGTCCAGTAATCAGTACTCATGCACATACATTCTGTATCATACGCCACAGAAAACTTTTCTTGTAAACAAATCAGAATTTCTTGATAAAGGAAAGAGCCCCAAAATGTCTTGAGCATCGCATTTTTTTTTTCCTGTTAAAATAACTAGTTCCTTGAATATTGTAAAATTGGAATAGGGGCAAGCATTCTGGATCTATGATATTCTGATGAGATCACCAACAAAAGAAAATATGGGCATTGTTTACATGATGCGTAATTCGTGGCAATACAATAGAAAAGAGCTTCTTTTTTTTTTTACCTTCTCTCGACACGTGTCAAAAGTGATCGTTTACAACATCCTATAATATTTAAGGTCTGACACGAACAGTTGCGGAAGAAGAAAAGGTTCTTTTCACAACGTGTGTATAATTAGTTATTTTTCTCACCCTCTAAAAATAAAATAAAATAAACGGAAAAGAATCAGCCGTTTGCTTCACCACGAGCTGACTAGTACTCTGACGTCACGGACAAAATGCAAAAAAAAATGAAACAAGTCTCTTTCTGCGAACGACAGTCGTATTTATTAGTCAAAGTCAGGAGGCTCTCCGTAGTTCTCTCTACATGTGACGCGGGACTTCGAGTTTCGCGGCAGAAGTTTTTCTCCGCCAACATCTCAGCTGCGCGGTGATCGTGACGTCAGACGGAGGTCACTGAAACGATTCTCGTGACTGTGTACCCGGCACTGGCAGATTGGTTCTAGCTCAGTGCGGACTACTTTTGAGGTGAGTGCGGTCTTTCATCTACTTTCTCTCGTCGGAAGTTGAATTTTAGGTTCTCAGATAGTACATCATTTTATCCTAACAATTGTCTGTTCACCTTCTCTCACTTTAAATTCTCTTGTTTAAAAATCTCCACTTGAGAAGCATTTGAAGCGCGTTATGTTTATTTACCATTAGATCGTAAAGAAGTTTGATAGTATAATGAAATTCTTTCTTACTGTGTTACGTTTATTTACCATTAGATAATAAAGAAGTTTAATAACATTATGAAAATATTTCTTACCTGTTAAGTAAAAGTAAATGCGTTTAAAATGTAAGTGCTGTTGGGTTAACTTTTTGTCTACTTTTCTCGTCTCAAAATTAATACATATCATAAAGACCTTAAACCTTGGAGCATTTTTCGCAGATTTTCTCTAACTTGAATAGTCCTGTTAGTAGTTGTCGAATGCGAGAATTATTAACAAGTGCTTCTAATTTAAGCTGCCTGATTGTAAAAATGAATTTCTCTTATGAAAGTTGTCAAATCCATTAATGAGACTACCTTACGGCTAATAGCTCTCGAGTGCTTCATCATTGTAACAAGCGAACCAGCCAACTGTTAATAACATTGGAACAAAACATATGATTACTGGAATTATTAAGCTTTCAGCTGCATAATTAACGTTTTCTGCATATCCTATTATTAATCATGTTAAGCTTAATCTTTTAAGTACATTATGAGATTGTTATGAGGGAATATGCGAGAATGTACGCTTAGAAAACTTTAAAAATGAGTATCTCTATAAATGCTTTTCTTTAATTGTAAATGCCTTTAGAATAAGCCAAAAGAGTGTGTGTAATATAGAAAATGCTTATAAAATTAGCTTTAATTATTAGTTTAAGTAGTCATCTTGAAACCTGTCAGAGTGAAATATATTGCCGCTAATCATATTCTGATGAACAAACTGAATTATTTGATCTGAAGTTGTGGAAAGAAAAAGATTTTGTGTTTTAGCGTGAATGTTTCACATAGCTTTTCGTATGGATTTTTTGTAATTGCATAGGCCAGGGGTTCTCAACCGGTGGTACGCAAGAGAAAAATGGGTGGTACGTAAAGAAGCAAAATATTTTTATCTATTAAATTCAAAAATTAAAACCCCAACATCCTAATTGAGTTTTTTTCTAATACTTGTAAATTTATGCTATCTGAGCTTTGTTCAAGAGTGGTAGTAGTACATTGTATTGGTGGTACTACAAGTTTTCAGTTTTTGTTTAGATGGTACGCGTTAATCAAAGGTTGAGAACCGCTGGCATAGGCTGTTTAATGCCGATTTATAGAAATGTAAATCATGAAAGCTGTAATTTAAAAGTTTTTAGCTTTTTTCAGAATGCTATATTAAGTTCAGATCATTAAAGACATGTAGTAATCTGTCTAGTCTGTCTTCTTTTGAATATCAAAATAAAATGTCATCGAAACGCAATAAAAACGTAACTTTGCAGATACCCAGAGGCTACAGTACAATTTGATAATATTTTGAAATAAAATGAATGATACGACGTAGACTGTGATAAATATACTTCACCAAATAAACATATCTCTTTTGTAATGAAAAATATTGCTATTTATATTCTTTATATCTTTTAAATTTTTAAAGATAAGTATCTTATCTTTTTACTTAGCTATAAGTATATTCTTATATTCTATCAGCTTTGCGAACTTTATATATGCAAGTCTGTGATGTGTTTCGCGTAAGAACTTGTGCAGATTGAAGGTAAATTATACCCGTTTTCATGCAAATTACAAATTACGAGTGAATTTTATTTAATTCCATTGAAATTAAATCATTCAAAGAAATTGCATTCAGCTTACAAAGGCCCACCAGCGGCCGAGCGGTAAAGTCGCTGAACACTGGTAGTTCGGTCCGAGGTTCGAATCCCGCGAACGGGCTGGCTGCATGGGTGTTTTCGTGGTTTTCCCCATGTGTAACGTGTATACGAGCCAGTTTCCCTTAGAAAGTCCTCCACGAAAGGCATCCCTCCTCTTAGGCAGATAGCCCTAGTGTGCTTTGCCATAATTAAATACACCGACACCGATCAGCTTACAAAATTTTCAGTATTGAAAGGTAGCTGTTCTATGCTTCAAAAATATTTTTGAAAGACTTGTCTCATAATAAAGCCTCGATAACTCATGTCGAAAGCAGTTGTATCTACCATTCTTTTTATTACGAATAATGCAAAAAAAAAAAAAAAAAAAAAGGCCATAAAAATTGAAGAAAAAAAAACTTTTGAAAGCGAAGTTGTAAATCGTTTTCTTTTATGTAATGTAAACCTCAATTCTAAACTCATTGAGCAAAGGGCATTCGACGTAACTTCCTGTGTTTCATTTGTGCTGGGTAGGTGGGAAATAATTGACGTCATACTAATGTTATGAAACAAATCGAAAATGACAGGTGATGTTGCAGATAAATGTATGTTTTGTATATTTATATTTTTTGCTTTGATAATTTTGCGTGTTAAAAATTTATAAAACCTGAGAGATAGCCTTTTACTTTGGTGATAAATATTTAAACTCGTACCCTTTCACTGTGCGTAATGAAAATCGGTTGAAACATTAGGCGAAATTATTGGTGAAAATTATTCACCAAATTTTGCTTATTGGAGAACTGGTACGTAATTGTTTCAAATTTAACTCTGAAGTGAATTATTTTAACTTAGTTATTTTTAATTAGAGAATAACTTGAATGGTTTTTATCTTTATTACTTGCAAAAGCAGAGAACATCTCAAAACATAATGTTTTTAAACATCTAAAAGCTATTTAAAGCACTGATATTTTCGGGACAAAAACGTGTTCGCATTGAAAATTCATTTTTATCATCTAAGTTTGCACCCTTTTTCATGTTTTAAATATATTACTGTTTTGTAACTATTGAAAGTACTATGATTATATATTTTTGATCGATACATTAGATTAGTGATGGTACTTTTAGAAATATAAATCACGATTTTAAATTACCTGCAGAATTTTACTTGTTGCAATAACAGTAGTGAATAAGTAATGTTTAAAAGCGAAAATATGATTTTATTTCTGATTAGTATATTGTTTTGATTTCTGTAAAATAGATTCGTAAGATGAAGTTAGTTACTGTAAACTTAACTCTGAATAATTAGTAGATAAGGCTACTTTAATACTGCCATCACTGGGTTCGAATTTTTTAATTTTAATAAAAAGGTATATAATTATTCTAATCAAACTTTACCTATTTGTGTAACTAAAAAATTATCTATTTAGACAGAAATTTCAAAAATTAAGTAAATTTTTCTAGTTCATTTTAATGTATCACTTGACTTTTGGACTTCTTGTTTTTGGCACCCATAGAATTCGGTTATTTTATTACAATCCTTTTTGTCATTTCGACGAATTTTAGTATGTCAAATAACTGGTAACTATGCGAGTCTATTATTTTGTTAATTTTTTTCAAATATTTGCAAAACATTTCTGCTCTTAGCATGAGGAAATTTTCATTTCGAAATGGCTTTTTATTAATGCATTTTATTTCGCAAATATTTTTAATTAATTAGAAGAAATTCTTAAAGTTATTGTTCAGATTTTTTTCCGAAATATTTTTTTCTTTATAATATGGCTTAATGAATTTTACCACCTTAGTACTCAGAATTTTTAAAAAATTTCAGCCTTCGGTTTAGTCACTATTCGTATTAGAAAGTTTCACTAAAACTGAACAGTTCTCTCAACGTGTTCATTGAAAGTTCATGTCATAATGAAAAATTTTCGAGGAAACGCTGCGCATAAAAAATTTCAAAGTAGTCGGTCCGAATATTCCATGTGTTTTCTTTTGAAATTGAAAAAGAACTCGCCACTGCGAAACGCTGCTAGTTTTATTTTATTCGGTGTTTGTTGTGAAAAGAGGTAGCAACATGAGGTCGGTCCACATGGTTTCCCGTGTATAGCCTAAATATAAACTAGTTCCCCTTAACAAAGCCTCCTACGAATTCATATCTTCCTAGCAAAATCCTTCATGTTCTTTACTATAATTAATAATTAACGAAGGTCAATTAATATAAAATGCATTATCTTATCGTGCCCTGCATGCATAAAGTGTCAAAGTCAGAGTTTGTATTTTTGCAATTTCTTTTAGTTTGATTTTATTTCTTGATGCATAAAAACATACTTTAGTGTCATGTCATTAGAAACCATTTATTTCATGAAATAAAAAATTTAGCATCCAAGATTCAACATTACTTCTTCGTTTTTAATGTATTTCAAATGCTTTCTTTATGATTGTGCGCTTTGAAGAAAAGTTAATATCAGATTTTATAGCTGTCTTAGAGTTGTTTGTGAAATATGGAGATTTAAAGTGTCAGTTATTTCTTTCATCTATATTACATGTTGACAAATTTGCATTTTAAAAATTAGTAAAAAGTTAGAAATATTGTCTAAATTTGGTGGTATTATGAAGGCAACTTCCGCAGTTTTACGACCTATTTATATGCAAAGGAATTTTCTAATTCGCCCGCAAATGGACAGTTTTTAAGACTGTTGAACACTAGTAATTCGACTTGGTTTCGAGTCCTGGCGAAGAGGGTGGCTACTTGGATGCGTTAGTGGTTTACCTCTTGTGTAACGTAAATATGAGTCGGGTTCCCTTAAAAATTTGCCGCGCTAGTATCCGAGTGACTTAATTCTTCGAGCGCGAAGTCCGTGAATAACATGTCCACTTTTATCCTGAATATACGCGAGGAACGTTCTTATTGCGTCCGTAGAAACAGAATATTTCAACTGTGATCAGTTTCTCAGGAAGATAAGGCGCAATTTTTTTGTGTGTGTTTTCGTTAATTTTATACCAGCGGTCAGAGGGTGTTAAAACCTCTCAGTGCTGAGAGTTCGACCCATAGGAACGGGCTAGCTGCATGATTAGTTTCTTCCATGTGTTACGTGAAGGCGAACCAGTTTCCTTTAGAAAATCCTGCATGAAAGTTTTCCTCCCTTTAAGCAGATAGCCCATGA